TCCCCGCGCTTCCTCCCCCCAATCCCCACACTCCTTTCTCCCTTTCTCTCTCCCCCGTTGGGCATCTCTTGTAGTAGACGCTGCGGGAGAAATGCGCAAGCAGACTAATCGATCGAGCCCATCATTAACTAAATCCTTATTACTGTACCTCCCTCCCACTCTCCCCGCCATCAATCTCTCACATGCGCACACCCACTCATGCGTGCACACACGCATTTCACGCGTGCGCAAACACATTTAGACATCGGGTCCAGCAAAGCCCATCATCCGACAACGGCCCCCGGCCCCCCCCGACTCACCAAACGTGCAAAAAAAGAAGACTGAATCTTCCGCTAGAACATGGAAAGATACGTCACCATAAATTTTGCCTTCTGTGCATGTGGTGGTGAGTGGTCGAGGGAGGCGCAACCTCACTCAATTTTCATAATCTCTTCCCTTCGTTCAAGCACACTGCGCATGACACAATGCGATCACCAAAAAAAAGAACCGGCGGCTCTTCGAACAGACACCTAAGAACACCAGAGCTCCTGCACACGGATCTCTCTTTTTTTTTTTTCCCACTGATCTTTTTTTTTTTTTTTTTTTTTTGGGAATCCCACGGATCTTTCTCTCAACGCCTGATAAAATCGAGATCTTCCGAACACCGTTCATTTGCCTTCGCCTTGCCGCCTCGCTTGCACGGAAACAGGAAACACGAACGAAATTAGAGAGTAGTGATAGGAGGGGAGAACCGGCCGTTTGCCTCCACCGCTGATCTCCCGCCGAGTTGTCTAACGCAAGCACATGCTCTCTCTCTCTCTCTCTCTCTCTCTCTCTCTCTCTCTCTCTCTCTCTCTCTCGCTCTCCGTCTTCCCCCGCTCCGCGTACATTCTCTTTTCAATGTGCCCACTAGAAACGGCTTTCCGCCTCCGCATTCATTCCACAACTATGATCTCTCTCTCTCTCTGTCTCTCTGTCTCTCTCTCTCTCTCTCTCTCTCTCTCTCTCTCTCTCTCTCTCCACGCACACACACGCACTTGACACAACATATGCACTCGCTCCAATTGTGTTTACTTCTCTCTCCCTCCCTCTCTGTCTCTCTCTCACACATACATATACACGAGATGCTGCACATGCATGTGCTCTTGGTCTTTCTTGTCTTGCCGTCTCTCCCTCCCCTCCTCCCCCCCCCCCCTCTCTCTCTCTCTCTCTCTCTCTCTCACACACACACACACACACACACACACACACACACACACACATACACAAGAGATGCTGCGAACATGCACGTGCGCTTGGTCTTTCTTGTCTGACCGTCTCTCTCCCCTCTCTCTCTCTCATACACACACACGCACATGTGAGCGCACAAGCACGGGATGGGAGCCAAGCACGTGCATGCGCTTTTCTCAGGCACGCACGCAGAAGTGCGCACCTGAGATGCCAGGCATACGCAGTGTCGCGTTGACACGCACCCATAAATACGCGCGTGATCGAGCGCAGACCTCGGAGGCTGTGCGCACGCACGTACTCTATTTCTGTCTCACGCACACCTAGAAACACACCTTGGCCTCATGCCATCTACCTTCTCTCTCTCTCTCTCTCTCTCTCTCTCTCTCTCTCTCTCTCTCTCTCTCTCTCTCTCTGTGTGTGTGTGTGTGTGTGTGTGTGCCGATCGGTCGATCGGCCTTCAGGCATACACAAGAGATGAGTAGGACGAGAGAACAGTGGTCAAGAAATACGAACAAGGTAAAACCGCCTAAAAGAGAAGGAAAGACATACGGGGGACCGAGAAAGGGCAAAGTACGTGAGGAAAGGGAAACGAGGAGAAGAAGAGAGGAAAATAGAAGGAGAAAGGAACGGGAAAAGTAAACATCCAAGATGAATAGGAAAACCGGAGTGACAAACCGCTTCATGGATGAGAACGGCAAACAAAATCAGCCACGTATTCGACCAAAACTACGTATCCAGGTACACTCCCGCACATGCACGGACACGCACGCGCGAGCGCGCGTGCACAGGCACACAAGTACGTCCGTATGCACATACGCCCGTCCTAACACACGTGATTGCGACGGTCGCCTAATGACGTTACTACAGCAACTCTCTCTCTCTCTCTCTCTCTCTCTCTCTCTCTCTCTCTCTCTCTCTCTCTCTCTCTCTCCCCGCCGAACCACTTTGCCAGTGCTGCTGAGAGCATCATTTTCAGGAGGGCGTGGTTGGGGCACGCTTCAAGTTGGTTCTGACCAAGTGAGATAGTTGGCTTGCTCCCCCCTGGTCAGTATTGGTAGGGTCTTTGCCATCAGGGGTGTGTGTGGTGTGTGGGAGACTGTTAGCCTTGGACACTGCTGCTACTCAGGGCAAACTGCTCGGTCTTTGTTAGATGGCCGCCCCCACAAGCGGCCCCACCCTACTCCCTGACCAGCGCAAGTTAGGGTGGGGGGACAACATGCATCATTTGGATTGTCACAGGTAGATATGCTTGCAGGGCTCCCCTGTATACGCTTAGGGGTAGTGATGGGTAGGTAGTAGTGAGGGAAATAACTGCTGCTCCACATTCTACAATCTGCTCTGGTCTTGTCAGTGCTGCACCCAGTTTCCAGCAGATGCCCGCCACCAATAGATTGGATTGGAGCCATCTATAAAAGGGGGCTACTATTTGGGCGATGGTCATATCACCCTCAACAGTAAGCCTACAGCAGATGTTCCCAAAATAAAAAAGTAGTCAAAGTGAATTTGAGATACCGTTCAACCCCCTTTTTTTTTTTTTTTTTTTTTTTTTTTTTTTTTTTTTTTTTTTTTTTTTTTTTTTTTTTTTTGGATTTCTCATTTTGCATGATCCACCTTCGTGATCTTTTATTGGAATTCACGATTCTTCTTTTCGCCAGATCCACCTTCATGATGTATGATCGGAAATGCAGAATCTCCAAAAAAAAAAAAAAAAGAAATGCAGAATCTGGACAGCTACAACCTCAGCCAGGAGATCATGCCCGGGGGCAAAGGGGATCTTTTAAATTTTTTTCTTTCTTTTTTTTTTTTCCTTCAAACGGTAAATGCCTGTCTACCTTTCAGGCCCTTTTTATTATCATTATAGTATTATATGGGGAACCCCATTAGCAGTCAGCCCAAGTTCAAGCGTCCGACGAGGAACATGCAGGGGCCTTGCCCGACCTGCAAGCATCAGCACCAAGCTTCTTCGACGGGCCAGTCGATGTGCCTCCCCTCGGCCTACGGACATCAGGAGTCTCTGCCGCTCAGGGGGACCAAGGGCCTGTCTCTAGCTTCTTCCTTCGAATACAACGCATGGTCATTATAGCTGTATTTAGACTGAAAGATACACCGAATACAGCTACAATGACCGTTCGTTGTATTCGGGGGAAGAGGAAGAAGGTAGGTGGCCGGCGACCTTGCGGAGGAAGGTACATGAGATCAATGGGATTGAACCGGAGACCTCCTGAATGCCACTTGCGTGCCTTACCAACCGAGCTAGGCCGCTGGAGCATGGTCCCATTAGCAAAGAGGATTGGATTAAGCTCCTGAATCTGGACGTGTTTTAAGCAGAGATGCAGAAAAGCTGTTCAATCTCAAATTTCTGCACTTTTCCAGGAACACGTCTAGATTCAGGCGTTCAATCCAATCCATGTTGCTAGTGGACCTCGCCCCTGGAGACCATTCCTCTGTACTAAACACAGATGCTCAACCAGCGGATTTAGCCCCGTTGGTACACCCATAAGCTGTTGATGTACACACCCAAGTTCGAATCCAGATGCCCTCAGACTCTAGACAGATACCAAAAAATACAAGGGGCAAATAAATCGATGCCAACACTCAGTTGTCGTAGATCTTTTACATAGACGGCTGCGAAGACGTTGAGGTGCAATTCTACGGCGGCGGAACAAAGCCCTACCGTCTTCCCCCGACCACAGCGCACCCTCGTTATTAACGTATACAGCTGCCTTTCCGGCCTGATACACAGTCATGACGCGGGTGCGTTGTGCTCGGTGGACGAGGATGGCCCCCCCCCATTTTTCAAGCCAAACCTCATCTAAATCTAGGAGTTCGGTGGACCCCGAGGGCATTCCTACCCTGTCCCACGGAACAGAAAGCCCAGGGCCCCATGGATTTGTCGAAGGCGGGTAGGCTTCCTTTATTCCACCGACCTGTACTACCCTACCCTATCGGGTACTACCAACGTGTAAACCTGCCTTCCGGACTTCTTTTTTTTTTCCGGACTTTCCCCCCCCCCCTCTTCCGGACTTTTTCACTCATAGCGCCCAGGAGTATAATTCGGGAGACGTCGCTTCTTTTGGGGGCGCCTACGTGAACTCCTCCCTGTTGATGCAGTCCACAGGTCGAGAAAAGAGCGAAGAAAAAGGGGCGGAGGACCAAGAGGAGTGGAAGGCGGACGCAAACAGGAAGAGCACGAACAAAGAGCAGAAACAAGAAAGGGACCGAGGGAATAGCAGGAGGACCAGATGAGGGAATAGGAGGAGGAGGAGGAGGACCAGATGAGGGAATAGGAGGAGGAGGAGGAGGAGGAGGACCAGATGAGGGAATAGGAGGAGGACGAGGAGGAGGAGGAGGACCAGATGAGGGAATAGGAGGAGAAGGAGGAGGACCAGACGAGGGAATAGGAGGAGGAGGAGGAGGACCAGAGGAGGGAATAGGAGGAGGAGGAGGAGGACCAGATGAGGGAGGATGTGAAGGAACAGTCGGTGAGAGGAATGACCAGTGCCCAACCACAGGAAAGAACAGACTGAGTACGAAGAAGAAGAAGAAGAAGAAGAAGAAGAAGAAGAAGAAGAAAAAGTGAATCACCCTCCCCTCCGTCTCCTTCCTCCTGGCTCTTCCCAACCACACAAACACACGAGTTCCCTTTTGCTCATACAAACCGCGCACTCACCATGTCCCCAACCTTCTTCCCTAAGACACCACCTACTTACTCACCGTAGTTCAAACTCTCGATAGGTAATTTCGGCGCTATTTCCCTCCCTCCCATGGCCCTCATGGCCATACAATGCATACATGCCCTCCCACGCTTCGTCACACCTTCAACCTCCCCCTCAATCTATCACACAAGCCCACAGACAGTTCAACAGGGCAGCGAATGCACAGATACCGAACCCTCTCAACGCTTCCCTCCACCCTTCGCTCTCCTGGACACCGAAAGGTGTACTCGTACTTGGGAGTAACTTTCACGGAATCTGGGAGTGTAATAGCGGTCAGGTACATCTAGGAAAGCCTCTGCTGCGAGTAGACCCTACGCGTATATAGCACACGAACAGAGTTTCTCTCCCTTAGCAGATATGTAGTGATCTTCACTCGAGGCAACATTCCCCCATTCCCCACGCTTCTTTCCCCCAATCCCCGCCTTCTTCCCCCCATTCCCCACGTTTCTTCCTCCAATCCCCGCGCTTCTTCCCCCCAATCTTCTTTCCCCTAATCCCCTCCTTCTTCCCCCCATTCCCC